ACTTCCCAGGAAATTACGGATTTACAAGCCTGTAAAATAAACCACTACCATCACAGCTTAAAGAAAGAAATGCCACCTTTTCACAGCGGCAACTGCTTTTAACACTTCACAGACAACACCACATCATTCAGGTAATCAAGACTTATGAGTAATGAGGGTGTTTATGATGTTAATGCTTGACGATGGTGTCAAACTTCCTGCACAATCTTTTCCATCAATGGTATACCTAAAAGTGCAAAGAAGCGAAAGCTCCTGTTATCTCATTGCAAAGTTCTTACATCTCTTTTCAGGTCCAATACAACCCTGGATGCCCCCGTGAGTCAGAGCAAAACTGCAGCCCGGCACACAAAACTTCACACTGACAAAGATCTGTAACTGACAAACACCATCAGCCGACTACATCTGTGTCGCTGGGGCCTTGACCTGTAACCACATCCTCTTTGCAGAGAGCAAAAAGGCTTCATGCTGATAGGATGGAAAAGGAGTAGCTACCAACTAAAATAGCCTCTTCCAGTCTCTGTTCCTGTTCAAGACTCCAGACAGCAGGTTTGCATCGAGAGAGAGGGGGGAGGAAGTGGGTTTTGACAGCCTGTATCTCATCATCAAAAAGCTGGGCTATGAAGAGATTCAGGGCACAGGATGAGGCAGATGTATCATTTCAGTTACCACAGGAAAAAAGAGACTCCTTACAGCAATGTCTACTTCACTTGGCAACTGTGATGATCCATTATTAATAAAGCAGACCTCCTGTGTGTTTATAGTTTGAGGATGGAGCACACACCTTTCCTGTTTCACACCACTGTCCCCCTGCAGCAAAAATAACCTGCAACAGGCTGGGGCTCCCAGACATGAGAAAGTCATTTGAGCTCTTGGGTTATCTCACTGTGAATCTACCTAATTTGCTTACGGCAGTAGCATATGCTTATCACTCCAGGTCATGCTAAGTCCCTGCAATCTGTGGCTGTGACTGTGCACCACAGAGCAGTAACTAACACTCCGTCGATGCATCATTATTAGCTTCCACAACATTAATCAAATTCCGTTCAAATCACAAACCCGCTTAAAGATAAATACCTAAAATACCCATAATCTGTAATCCAGGCGACTGAGACCAGCATATGTCCATAAACAATCTAGTTTCATACCAGCAAACTACACTAAGTCCCGTTATCAAAGCTGGTTAGCTGCATTCCGCTAACTAGCTAGCTTTAACTGCTCGCGACGGGCCGCCGACACTTCACAACCGCTAGCAACGGCTCGTTAGCAACAAGCTAGCTTAGCCGACACATTCCTGTCCTCGGCGTACAATCAAAACACAGCTAGGTTGTCAGAAACACGCTGCAATCAAGCGCATTTCACAGCTCAAACGTCAACCGGGCTTGGCAGGGGTGAAATCAGCCCGCATCACGGTGTATTTGCTCGGGAAAGACCGACTAGCTAACGTTACCTGCCCTTCCGCCTGGCCTTGACTAAAATGGGAGTGCACACTCCGTTTTGTACTTGCGGACAATTCTTCTCATTTCTCCGACACATATGAAAAGACTCCGTGCACTCCGCTGTTTCTGCTCGTTATCCCGCGTGTGTGGACGCGACGTGCTCCCACGCAAATGACTTATTTGACCGCGTTTGGCGTGTAGTAAAGTTTGGCATTTGCACTCACCGTTTCTCGCTCGCTGTCTTTCGCCGCTCCGCAAGTGTCAGTTTGCCTCCGGCCTCTGTGCGCAGCAGACGTCACTCCCCACTATTTCTCATTTTTCTTAAAAGGGCATGACACAGCGGCCACTCGTCCCGCATCATTTGCATGATAACGGGGCTGCACAGTAACGATGAGTGTCACTAAAACACACACATACACTGATTTAATCCATTATTACCTATATGATGCAAACACATTTATTACAGGAGGATTTAAACACGTTACAGTCTTGAAGCATGACTCACTTTCTGCATGTGAAATCTGTGCAGAAATGACAAAAACTAAAAGAAAGAGTACTTTTGTGTGTAAAGTGACATCACTAATTATCATGTTATTGTATTATGTCCAAGATATCTAAAAGTCCATGAGTAAGAGCTGCTGTAAGTCTATTCTGCAATCAAGTCAGCACAAGTCTCAGGTCCTTGAGGGTAAATTCTGAGCTTCCTTCTGTTCAATTTCAGGTTTCACACAGACACAGCATTATTTTTTTAGTCTTTTTAATTAAAAAAAAAAAAAAGAAAAAAAAAGTCTTTTTAATTAGGGATAGATAACAGCAGTAGAGATTTACAAGTGCTATTATTATTATTATTTTTTTTTTTTTTTTGGTTAACAGAACAGGAGCAGTGAAAATAGTCTCTGCACTGTTAAATAATAGTCATAAATGATTTAAATATTATCAAGTATTTTTCCAAAAAATACACTACGGTGAAATGTAAGTAAGTAAACCCTCACAGTTAGCTTGGTTAAAGAGAAAGAAGGAAATGTGGACAAATAGAAGAATAAAAATCTAATAAAAAAAGGTAAATAACAAATTCAAAATAAATGAAAAAAATATATATGATTAAAATAAATAAAAATAAAATTAAAAAATGGTTAATAATCAATTCAGAGGGAATACATTTTTAAAATATATATACAAATAAATAAAAGAAATAAATAAAAATAATAAAGGGGGGCAGGGGGTTAGTCCAAGGACAGGGTTGGTGAGGAATTAAAGTAGTGGACACGCCCTTTAGAACATTTTCCTCGAAAATAGGTTAAAATTAGAGCTGAAAACATTAGTCTTTTAATCAAATAGTTGATCGACAAAAAATTAATCGACTTTAATAATCAACTTATTGTTTAAGTAGAGTTATTAAGTGTCAGGCTTAAGCTCCAGCTTCAAAAATCTGATTATTTAGTCCTCTGTGATAGCATACTAAACTATTTGGGGTAAGCTATTCCAATATGTCAAATGACTTAAATTCTTTGGGGCAAGTTAAAATAAGGTCTCAAGACAAATCTCAAGCAAATTTCAAGTCAATTCAAAGTCTTCATATGAGGTCTCTGAATACTGATCATTAAAATGACAAACATTTTCCTTTCAAAGCTGTTAGTAGTGTTTATCATAGACCTGGCTGAGACCAGTGTTGAGGAGCAGTTGACTAGATGTAGTTCAGTTACTTGTGTAACTACGGTCTGCAGTGTTTGGCTGTCAGTTTAACTACATTCAAATCTCAGTAGCTTTATTATTGATTAACTACTGCGGGTCATGTAGTAAACTTGAAGCTACACGTTCATACTACTCTCATGATGTTTTTTGCCATACAACATGGCACAAGATCACTCACCTGCCATTTGACTAACATCAGCTCTGATTTGCAACCAACATGTCTGCACTCTAATACTAGGAGTTTCCCTACAAGTGTAGTGTGTTTCTGCTTCCACCCCTGCAGCTGCTCCCTGTTGTCTCCTTAAAACGCATCCTCAGGCTGCCTCAGGGAGGACTGCCTGCCCTCGTCCCTAAATCACACACACCTACAGTTTACTCAGAGTCAGTGTCAGTTGTACCTGTGTGTAACAATCTGACACTCCAGACTCAGATTGTGATCATTTCCCATAATGCAGTCTGGACATAGTTGAACTACATGTTGGAAATAGTTTTACTTTGACAAGCTGAACAATTCTGAGCGTAGTTAAGATGTAATTTAACTACTGCTCATTATGAAGGACCTAGTAGTTTGGTCCTGGTCTTCTAAACTTTCTGTGACAGCATTATGAATATTTTTGGGCTTTGGAGAGTTGGTCTGCCCAAACAAGGACTTTAAAATATGTCAGTATGGTTGTCTGTTGAAATTGTGACGTTTTCCTTCATTTTTTTCAACATTTTATAGATTAATTGATTCATTATCTTTTATTTAACCTTTATTTAACCAGGAAGTCCCATTGAGATTATGAGTAATGCAAAACAAAACAAAACAAATGCAACATATAATACAAAAATCCACAATAAAACAACAACTATTCAAACATAGTGGCCTCTCAAGAAACCCAAGCACATCTCCATCACCACATTCTTTATGATGCCCTTAAATTCATCGATAGATTTAAGTGCTTCTAATTTTAAGTTACTTGATTATTGAACAAAACAAGGGCGTGGTTTTGTTTCAGCAATGGGGGTGACACATGAAACAGGAGGTTTACAGATCCTTTGTCATCAAACACTTAATTTCTTGCATCCTGGTGACTTTAATGCACCAATTTGTGTTATTTCTGCATCAATATTTGTATATGTCTGTAATCTTTTCAAAATAAAAGTCTTCTGCTTCTTTCTTTTTTCATTTGGTGGGGGGAGGCAGTGCACGTTAAAAATATTGAAGAAGATGTGTCCTGTGTCCTGAAATCTTCACTTATGTGAGAAAATACTATCCATATTAATCGTTAAAATCTCTCAATGGTTACTTGTCCCAGTATCTAAGGTGTGTGTCATGTAGTGAGTCTTACTGTCTTTATTCTGTATTGTTCTGGATCTCTTTTTCTAGTTGAAACTTGAGACTTACGCTTAACTGAAGTCTGAAGTGTAAAGCTTACATTAAATGAACAATCCCTGACCCCAAATGTCACACTGATGATGCTAAAGTTGCATCACCTGCTCCTTCCTCATCGCCTTATTCATCCAGCATCCTTCACCTGTCACCTCACGGAGCGGGCTTCAAACCGATAACAGGTGTGTGTGTGACACCAACATACAAGAATGTGAGAGCAAAGTGCTCCCTTATGTGGCTCCTGTAAACACGTCCTTAAAGAGTCAGTTGCACAATTCTGGCCGAGCAAAGACAGAGCAGTGTTGGTCTGTTTGTTTGAGAGGACTACCCTCTAGTGGGGAATGAGCCGTCCTGTCCAGACAACACTGATTATAGGCGACTGTGGCACCAGTACAGTACACTGTAAGACTTTGATGTACACTCACCCATGATTTGCACTCCTCACGAGCCAAAGCAGAAATTATGTCATAAGTGTATTTATAAGACTACGACAGACACACTTAACAACTTATTTGTTTTATTGTACCATAGAATAATCTATCATACAGATTTCATACAGTATGCATTCATCCCTTGCTTGAGTTCCTCCATTCGTTTGTACTGCCTAGGCCATCCTTTGTCATTAGCAGCCTTTGCCACACCTTTGTGTTGAATGTCAAAGCACTGTCACATACAATAGAACAATATGGTACACGTCTTTACAATCTAAAATAAATAAATCACTTTAAAACAAACCAATATCCCAGGAATAGCATCATATCTGAATGGTGTTTGCCTTCATAACTCTACTAAAGTCAAATAAAAAAATGCTGGCAGGATGTCAGCGGCCAGCACAAGCAGGTCGTTTAAGGCAAATAAAGACTAAGTGAACACAAGCAGGAAGCTTTTACTGTATATACACATAAGTATGCTTATATATTATTCATGATGTTCCACATGTGACATGTTTTTGCTAGATTCAACACTATCCAGAGCTCCTCAGTCTTGCCCTCGCGCTCGTTGGGCCACATGCAGTGAACACTGAAGAAAACAGATAAACACACCTCGTCCCCACAAACCATCGGACAACAAATCTCACCACATGTCTGTATTTAACCAGTGTACGGTGACACAGATGCACATGACAAGGCTGAGAATGGCAAAAGGCAGATCTGTACATGGCTCGTGAAAGAAGGGAAAATGAAGATGTATTTTGTCCTTCGGTTCTCTGACACGGTCCATAAAGTTGGGTGCGGTTGGTATTGTTTGATGTGTGGTATTTTACATCTCCATTTCTTCTTTGTAACTTCAGCAAGGAATTCAAAAAGGCCTAGTGGATGAGATGTGTCGGGTAGGGGGGGGGGGGGGGTCCTCTCACTGGTATTGTCGGTAGTCTCCAAAGGAAGGGGTGGGCATGGGAGCAGGAGCGGGTTCCTCTGCAAACTGAGGTCCTGGAGAGAAAGGGGAAATGACAGTGAGATGATGGTAAATCAGACTTCTAACAGCTGTTAACTACGTGGGCATTGCCCTAAAATATGACATTTACACCTGAGCTTTGCCTAAACTCTACATTAGATACTTATTTTGGACAAATTTTTAGTATGTCAAGTAGCTCAGCAACTATGTTTAAATATAAAAAAAACCCTGAAAATGTCACAATTCCCAAAAGGCCCAAGATGACTTATTTATATTGTTTGTTTTGTCCAACCACCAACCTAAAATTCAAATATATTCAGCCTGCAATCACAGCAAATGGAAAATCCACACTGAAAGCATTTTTAGAGGTGTTTTTGAAATCTGTCACTCTCGCATCGTTTAGACAGTTTCGCCTCCATTTTATTAAATGCATAAATCCACATTCCTCATTTAGTGAAACATAGTCTGCATAGACAACTGATTAAATAACACAAATATCCCACTGTATATGTGTTTTATGTGTATATGTTTTGAACTTCTTAACAGCATAAACATTGTATGACCGAGGCTCCTAGTCTATCTGTGAACTAGCCTGTTTCACTACAGGCAGATTCCCCTCACCCAATAAGGTGAAAGGGAAATAAAATCAACAAATCAATGCATAAAATCGCTGCTGATTTCTTCCCATGGAGCCAACATGAAAACTATTTTGGTTCGGTAAATTTCTGCTGTCAGTCAGCATGGTGAAGGCAGGTCAGCGCTGTCTACGCAGTTCCCCAGAAACTGCTGCTGACAGACTGCTGAGACATTAAATAATTAGTCAGTGTGGACTGGATGAGAAAACACTTACACACCACTCACATCTTGCTTCCAAAGGGCAAAGCAAATATTCCCATTTTTAAAGCTAGAACCCATTCATTTTTGCCTAATCGTTTGGCTGAAAAAATGACTTATCTATTAGTCAATAATTAGACTTGCTGCAGATGATTTTTTGCTGATGAATCAATTCTGACAAAATTGAGTACACTCAACAAGGTTTAAGATAGACTTTTTTTTGGGCAGTGTTGCAGTTAATATTCCAGAATTCCAACTAACCACTAGATAAATGTTTTAAATAGCCATTTAAAAGCCTACATTTAAACAGCAATAAAGCACTTCAAATAAATAACTTGAAAATAGGCTAAATAAAGAGGCGGCCTATAAAACACAGTGACTAATCACAAGTTCAGTGGCAGAGGCGGAATAGAGGAAAAGGACTCTGGGTGGCAAGTGTCACCATAAATCACCAAGCCTGCTGTCCACCATCTGGCTTGTCGTGGTGGAGTGAAGCGAATCTCTAGGTCTTACTGGGGAACTTGATCCATCATGCCATCACCTAACTACATTGAAACACACTACAAATAAGATGGTGACCACCTTGGATGTGACGTTCGCTCTGAAGAGGGTTGAGACACATTCTGTACATTTTCAGTGTATCAACTAGGGTTAATTGAACCAATACAGTACCGGTACCGGTATCTGGAATTCGGTACCGGTACCAAACGGTACCTTATTTCGGTACTTTTTAAAGTCTAAACTTCTGAGTTTCAACATTTTATTGAGAACATTTAGGAACAGTGCTGCACGTTAACTTTGGTCTGCACATTTTTTTTGTCGCCATTGTTGCTGAGTCTGAGGTGCGAGTCATGCGCTCTCGCTCCGCCTCCACCTCAGGTACCGAAATTTGGTACTCTGTAGTACCGACGTGAATCGGTACCAAGTACAAAAAGTACAGAGTTTCGGTACCCAACCCTAGTATCAACAGATCCGTCCATAATCAAAATCTTAAAATCTGGCCTGCACAATATAACTTTATATCCAAGTTCTCTTGGCAACATATCTTATACATCACACAATATTCTGCTATTTAATACGCTAGTAATGAATGTATTTATTTATTTGGCTCATTTCCCACTAGACAATTTGCCCGTGGATGTTTTCATCTGCCGGACAACTACACGTGATACCGGCCAAAAGTTTGCATATACCGGCTAACATAAACCCTGATACTCAAAGAAGTTGGCATGCATGCTAAAACACTTGGTTTTTGAGTATGATGTGTATGTAAACTATTATCCCAATAAACAGAACACCATAGAAATGGTAGGCCTGCTCATGGCTGAAAAAAATAAATAAATACAAAAACAAAAGGTAGATTTGAGCTCATCCGAAAACAATTTTTTTTTTAGTCTTTGGAAAAGCATTTGTCTCACTGAACGATGGTTTATTGTATACTAACTGTAAAAACAACATACTATTAAAATTAGTGTATCATAAATGCTGCATATTACATTACTGAAACAAATTATTTGAATTGAACAAACCTTTTAAACAGCCGACATTTGTCTTGTTACAGCAGGAAAACAGGGATATAACTAATAATATTAACGATGCTTCAGCTGTGTGTCCTTAACATAACATACTCATTAATGTTCCTGATTACACCTGTGCTTTCCCTACTATGACATTTCATAGTACTGTCTTGTTTTACTATATAAAAGATGTTCTCTGTGTAAGGAAATATCTACAATGAAATGTTTTCTGAAAACATTTCAAAACCCATCACTGGTTAAACTGAAAATAAAAGTGAAAAATGAGACGTTTACCATTAAACGAAAAAATATATATAATTTATCGCACACCTATTACCCCTGGCATTCATATTTCATGTTAAAGGATATATTGGGGTTGGGTGCTGTTTTCTGTTGTAAAGCATGGTTATAGGTGGAGAGGTGACGAAACTGTATGCAGTGTAAGTCAACAAAGACAAATGTGTCAGGCACAGGGCAACCAGAAGTGAAATTGTTGTCATGGTCGGTATATTTTCTTTGCCACAGCAGATGTAATCTTTCGCAACTGTGAAGGCATTTATACCTGGCTGACTTATGACATACAGAATCATCACACTGTTTTCTCTGTCTATGTATTATCCTTTATGTCTCTATCGGTCATTCAAGGAAACAAACCACCAATATCTGAAGAAGTATTACTCACCAGTTGGGAACTGTGAAGAGGCAAACCTAGTGAGCAAGATTCCAGCGCCCTCTATCAACGCCAGCAGGATACCTCCCATGGCTGCAGAGCCTACCATAGCTACTGGTCCATCTACAGAGGAACAGTGTGTGTTAATGCATCACAAGCACACAGTACATTAGTCTTCATATTTTACATAAGAAGTAGATTAAACGGGAAGCCTAGATGCTACTGTATGTCAGAGGTCGACCACTGTTTCACCACTTTGTTTTTAAATATAAAAAAGTTTGTGAAACAGTGAAAAATGAACACAGTAAAATGAACAGGACATTGAAAAAAGTCAAACAAGCCTGATCTGTACACATTCACACAGTCCTAAGGAGGAGCCTTTATCAGGCAATAAATTGATAACACCTGTGTGAGTGGACAAGAGGTATGTGAGGTCTTCTTAAAACTTGATTAAAATGACCAAATGTGGACAGTCTCAGTACTTTACAACTCCGCTTCCTCTCATTCAGTGAGGTTTATCTGCTTATTTTCAGTTTAAATACAGCAAATAAGCCAAGCTCAAACAATTTCAATAACTCTTTAGTCAAAGATGCCAATCAGGCTCTTGTCAAGTTGTGACACCTTTACTGAAGCTCATCTAAAAATGTTTACAGAAAGAAACCAGATTGTCACAGAGACCACAGGTTGACATTAGAGTCTCTTATGAACAATGTGACTGCAGTCCAGTTTCAGGACTAATAAAAGATATGTTGCGACATGCATTGATGTCATCGACGTTTAAGCTTTAACTTCCTCTGCTGGTGCCGGACAAGTCACAGTGCTTCTCTGAAAAACTGACTTTCACTTGATGTACTGTTGCAAAACAATGTTGGTGCTCTAAAAGCATGCCAAGCAAACACATATCCCAAAAGACACTCTTACTAATGTCTCTTAGCACCCTGGGTTTACTTTTAAACTCTGTTCAGGGTACAACAGCAACACACCGTTTGCTTTTTGTCTGAGGCATGTATGTGCTCTATTGACAGTTAACTGCCAGCTTCTTCTAGGGTTACTCACTTCTTGCAGCCAGGATAGCTCCTGTCATGGCCCCACTTGTAATTGAGTTCCAGGGATCCTCCTTCCCTCGTACTTTTACTAAACCACAGTCAATCATGGAGAAGAGGCCTCCCCATACTGCAAAGCTTCCTGCAAGCACAAAACATTCAGATTAGTTCAACAAGAAACAGTTCAGAGCGGAGTCCTGCACAGGTCCATTTTTGAAAACCCGCAACCCTCCATACCCGTAAGGATCAGTACCAGAACCAACTCATTAACAGTCATTATGTCTTAGTCAAAACAACATTGCTGCAGTTATTCTTTGTAAAGACGTTGGGTTTTTCCACGAGGTATATGAAGATGTCAGACCACTGTGACTTTTAGTTAAATCATTGATCCAGTGACCCATCAATTAGGAAACTTTACCCCATTGCTCAGAGTTAATTTGTTAGTGTAAGACCATAGACGCATTGTCATCTCCGTAACTATTAATAAAAGACAAAAAGCCAAATCCATGTTTAACAGATGTGAGTTTTTACAGTTTCTTTTGATGATGAATTATGTTTCACCACGTAAATACCTCAGTTCATATAAGCCTAACACACTGACACGCTCTACTGAGCATCCAGCAGTGGTCATAGCCTAAATATCGAGATTCTAATTAACTGACGACAAAACTTTTTTTGTTTACTACAGCAGGCAGATCACAAACCCATGGATGTGAACACGACTGATTGCAATCAGTTGAGTAATATAAACACTATAAATAGAGCTTTTAACATGTTATTTGGTGCTCACAGTGACACCACTACGATGCCTTTCTGCCATCAGTTCGGCTCCGCCCACAAAACTGTTTACAAATGCAAAAAGGGTCTATTACAAATCTGGCAGAAGAAAAAAACTCTCTTTCACTGGCTGTGCTTGACACCAGGATGGTGAAAACATTCTGCTCAATCACTGCTGGGTTAGGAAAAATTTTTAGCATGCTCCATCACCACCATAAATCTCAAAAGAATCCTCCTTATCATCGAGCAGCAAAGTTTCATCATTGGAGGCCTTCACGTTGGTGACAAATGTGATGACAGAGTCAAAGGTGTCACAAAGACTTGTGTCACTGACTTTCAAAATAAAAGGAATTGTAGCTTTATAATAGTTATTTAGATGTCAAATTGTTACACATATAGCCTACTGCACAGTTTTGTGATGTGTTTTATTCTGAAAAATAAAAAATATACACGCCAACGTGTAGTTCATTTTTACCTGTGCCCGTGAATACATATACCCGCAGGTACGCAACCCAGTGCCAAACTCTGATTCAGATATGCTTTGCACTTTGTTAGGCTATTTTGCCACGACTGGAAGTTATACTTATACACTATACTTATTCCACCAGAGAGTGAGCTACAGCCCGTGGCTGTGGCTAAACTGACTTATCACAGGAGTACAACTGCTACACACTGACACTTAAAGTGAAAGGGCTTTATCAGGACGGGAGCATGGCAACACTGTCCTCTTTACTTTTCGTCCCCATCCAAGCATGACATATTAGGATTATCAACATGTGGAACATGTTAGCAGTCATTTAAACTTAATGCACCACAGCTAACGTTACACCATGTGTCACCTAACATTATTATTCAGCCGTTTTATATTTTCTGTTTACTTTAACAGCCAAACATGAGTGAGAAAATGGCTTAAAGTAACATTACAGACTGTTGCTATGGTTAGATTAATTGATTAGGTGCAGCCCTTATCAACATGATCAATCAACACCAAGCTGACTATAGGCCCTGTTCTTTGCAAAGGAGAACAGAATACCCTTTCCAGCCAACAGTGAGTGAGTTTTTTTATATCAAAAATAGAGCATCTACCATTTCAGGCAGATAATGTTGATATTTAGCAGTCACTCTTACCTCCAAGCTGTGGTGCTCTGGTCTTGATGGCAGTCAAGCTACCTCTCATTCTGTGGCTCATTCCCTGTTAAAGACAGTGACACCAAACGCAGGTCAATGGACATTCTTTGTCAACCCAAGGTACCTACTTTCTTGATGAATGCCAAAATTGCAGAGTATGACAATGTTAAACATGGAAATATCTTATCGTGTCACTGAAATTACTGAGAAGATTCCTAAGTAGTAGAGTTTAGACAAGTGTGCCATGCCAGAAAAAAAAGATAACATTTACATGGTATAGTGTATAGTCCAATTTTATCTGTGTTAAAAAAGCAATGTTTCTGTTTAAGACAAACACTGACTGTGGTGAAATAATGTTATTTGTGCGCATGTATGTGCATCTGTGGGGAGGGACTGTAACAACCACAGAAAGCATGTGAATTGAAATCACTGGTAGAAGCCACTGCTGTTTAGGCTTGTCTATGCATTATTCCAAATTATGCCCCAAGATGGTAGATATGTGTGGTACTTAATAATACCCTCATCTATGATCTTTGAGCTCATTGTCCAGCAGGAAACACAGTCTTAGTTTTTTTTTAATGCCAGTGATTCAATTAAATTTTACTTTACTGCTAATGTTGATTTTTTTTTTCTGTTTTAACATTAACCCATTTAACATTAGGTTTCCACTTTTGGGGGGAATACAGAGCATACACAGTCGTCACTTGTCATTGGTACCAAACCAATTATTTTTCATAATTTTTGCTTCATGACTGTTTGCAGTACTTTTTTTGCATATCGTATTTTCTGTAATATGTTTTATTGCAGAAAATAAAATAGGCAAATTGCTGGTATGTGAAAACCAACTTGACAACAGACCTGTTTCTTATTTCGGATTCTGGTGTAAATCTTATCATACAATGAAGCTGCTGGTGGTGAAAAAAAAGAATGACATCTCTACAGAGAATTTCCATCAGTAATCTGACAATGACATAGTGTATGCTCGAAACCGGTTGCAAACAAGTCCCATGCTGCATGTAGTATGATTTGTATAAGGATGTCATGATTGTCTGATTTTTATATTATCTGACTGAGGCCAAACAGCAAGGAACACTGTCAAGCTACATGAGAGAACTTACTGAGGGTGCATTTCTGAAGCCTTTTACTGCCTGAAATATTCCTCCACCTATAGCGCCCATGGTGAAGGCTCCTCCACAGTCGTCCACGATCCTCCAGGGGCTGAAAAGCACAAGGCTGCTATTAGCAAAGGTCATTGTCAAATAAAGTACATAGTGTGCATGAAGGTTGCACTGACACGTGCCAGTATCATGACCTCTGATAGCAGGTTTAGCCTTGATATACCCTACAAGTACAGACTGGAGGCCAAGCGTGCTTGTAGAGCGACAAGCACTCTGTTATTGTTGTTGTAACGAGAGTAAAATACGGATAATCTTAACATTTCTATCTTGAAAACTGCATTTTTTTCTTTTGTTATAGCTAGTTGTTACATTAAAACTGCGAGCTGAGTAAAAGCAGTGAAGAGATTAATGTTTAGATAATGCTTGTATTGCCTGGTTATTACAGGATGTATCACCTGATCAGGGACAGTCATACAGCATGATAACAGACCATGATATAAACGTGTCACTAATGCTAACCACAAAACAAGTCATCTTTAACGCCACATCGACACTATTAATTTCAGTCACTAGGTTTCCAGATAAATTGGTTTGGTCTTGACTCAAAGTACCCTTCTCTAGCTGTTGTGCAATCCCCAGGCTGCCCCCAACTGATAACATTAGCACACCGGTGGCTAACTTAGCTAGCTTTCCGATATACTAAAACATCCGTAACTGATGCTACAGGGATAAAACTGTCACAGCGACTCTTGGTATTCACTGCAGGTCATTTATCACCTTGTTCACCGAGTGACAGGAGTCAGTGAACTGAATGTGCTGACACACGGGCGAGTAAACCGACAAGGTCACTAACAACGTGATTTAGCAACGACGCTCTGATGCTAGCACACACCGCTACTACAGCTTTATGTAAAGTTAGCATCTATGCTAACGCTGGGTAACTAGCCGGCTTTGAGATATCTGGGGTGATATGACGAGTTATACCATAAAAATAATTACACACACTTAAAGTGGTAGTTGATAGAAAGAGATGACTTAGTAAAACAGAAGGTAAAAAATATATTATAGCCGGTTAGACTCACCATGGCTCTCTGGCATATTCCTCCATCTTGTTCTTTCGCTGTTCCCTCGGACGCACGTGACGCAGTCGACAAAATGACGTAACGGCACAACGTGACATCCTAAAGAAGCATTTCATGTGCTCAAGCAATGCGCCCCCTGCATGCAAAATAGGTTAGCTTGAGGGAATGGGACGCTAGGTTATTATACAGATTATTATCTGGCAGAGGAATCAACAAATTGTCTTGTTGTTTTGGTATACTTTGAGTTTTTGCATTAAAAAGACAGCTTTCTGGGGAGTTCAGGGACCCTGGACCCTGTTTGTTTATGCGTAAACATCAGTGGTTCCCTACTGACAGTTGACCCTGGGGGTCCAGTATCAACGTAACCAAACCCTCAGTAGGCCTAGTGCGTGACAGGGAGGCACGCTTTGCAGCCATTTAAGCCACAGTTCAACAAGTGACAAAGCACTTTTTAATAAGTGCCTTACAGGAGGAGAAAAGAGAAGGGGGGGCATACATAGACAGAGTATGATCACATCACGCTGATTTAAGCCTCTCTACATTGGCTCCATGTTTGTTTTAGGATTGACTTTAAAATATTATTGATAACTTTTTAAGGCTCTTCATGGCTCCAGATTACTTTTCAGACCTTTAAGTCCCTTATGAACCTTTGCATAGTTTGAGATCATTGGGCAAAGGTCTTCTGCTTGTCACAGAGTCCAGGCTAATGAATAAAGGGGACAGAGCTTTTGCAACCGGGCCCTGATGCCCTGGAATGACCTGCCTGAGGATATAAAGTTGTCTGAGTCACTGACTTTGTTCAAGTCTCTCCTGAAAATGTATTCCTATCGGAAAGCATATCTGGACTTTATCTGATCTGTCTGTCTATTTTATTGCTATCTTATTTATTTTATTTCCCATTTATTATCTCGATTTTAGTTTTGGGCCTTCTTTATTTTATCTTTGACTTTGGTTTAATTTTATGACACTTTAGTTTGTTTCAATCTCCTTGTGTTTTAAATGTGTTTAGTTTTATTGTACAGCACTTTGTAACTGTGCTTTGTTTATTATCATTATTATTATTATTATTATTATTATATAAGATGATACATGTAATTTAAAGTTATGGAAACAAACAAAAAAAAAGAAAAGAAAAGAAACAGGTTTTTTGGAAGCTTTTTAAAAGTGTGCATTAATTTGGCCTCTGTGGGCCCTCACAGGAGAACGTTCCAAAGTCAGGAATCAGCTATAGCAAAAAAAATTAGCAATAGTTATAATAATAGCAATAAAAAGCGTAATATTTTGTGTGTGTGATAGATGAATGGCACATGGGAAAAAGCCAGGTATCTAAAGAAGGCTACTGCACAGGGGGTTTTACATTTTGGGCTACAAATACAACAGCATCACACTGATCGGATAAAATTTCCTTTAGAATAGACATAAAACAACAGGAAAAAAAATACAAATACACAGCAATAAAGATTAAATTATTAGAAGAATTCAGATCTTTTAGTAAAAATAGCATAAGTGTAAAAATACTCAGTTAAAAGTAAAAGCATCACTATTTACTAAAGTAACAGAGGTAAAAGTACTCATTATGTTGAACAGACCATATTGGATTATTGGACTGGACTGTGTTCATCACTTTAACGTTCCAGCTGCTAAAGGTGGGTCTAATTTAGTTGTCGAATAAATATAGTGGAGTAAATAGTACAGCCCCACAGGTTTATTTTAAGGCCACCAGTTAGAATTATCACTCCACCAATGAGGTCATGTTCATCATTTCCTGTTGGAGTGAATCTGAATTACTTGGTGGATACACACATTATTTTACATTGTGAGATAGGTGAAGGTATACGCTCTCTGAGAGCTCCTCTAGTTTCAGCTTTGTTTGTGGAAAATGTTTTGTCCATCATTTTGGCATGGAGGATGGGTCTAAACACTACAATACCCACGAACCCTGGCCACTGTTGGCATGGAGACGAGGCCTGTCAGAGGCACGGTAGTGAATCCAGAACACTTTGTCATCACAACTGAGAACAGAGCATAGCACCATAACTTTATTACGTGATCTTGGTTCCTGTGTCGAAATCTTGTTTTATTGCTTTACCATATTAGCTGATACAGCACAGCATATTGTTTAAATCAGACTGACAAGGCAAACCTGGGCAGAGGGGAGGAATAGGGGCCCATCAGCTCATTTTTGCCCTGGGGCCCCCGAGCTGGTTAATTTGGCCGTGCTACAGAAAGGAAGGAACCTTAAGGTACTTGATGTGAATAAATGCATCAGTGAATGCTCACTGAGTTACTTTCTGCATACAAACGATCGACCGAGTTGTCCTCAGATCCCCTCTGTTGGCGCAGAACAACCCGTAATCTCAACATTTTCATTCCTTCCCCTCTTTTTCCTCCAGCTGAGATCAGTGCCGCTGGTCAGGGGAGCAGCTACAGCCGAGAGACAGACCGCTGGCCTGCAGCCCATTATTAGGAACAAGAAAGGAATGAATTGCAGAGCGAGCTTTCATTGAGAAATGACCAAATATAGGCATTTCATGGATGCAGAGGCCGAGGCAGGGAGATGGAGACGTAAACTGGCCTGCTGCTGCTGCTGCTGGTGGTGCTCTTCTCCTTTTTTCCTCTGTACACCAGGGATGATGGCTGCCTCACCAGCTGGAGGGTTGACAGGCTACACAAGCTCCCACTGTGTCCCTGTAGATTTAAATACAGTATGTAAGGAAATTTTCTTGAGTCCTGGTTGCAGAAGCGCAAGCATGTAAGAAGCGCTTCTTTATATCAAGATGTCAGGATTCACATTAAGTGTTACAAGAGTCCTTTAAAGGAATACTTCACCCACAAACTGACCATTTGTATATCAATAAGTCACACTGTGTTACCTTGAATTCATTAGAAAGACTGTTTTCTCATGTGCCTCAATGGAAAACATAGATATTGAATTACTGATTGATTGGGGACAGCATTTAACAGCAAAACTATATCAAAACATGAGTTTACAAACTTTCACACAACTCGTGCAGTATAATCCAAGTCTCATTTATTCAGTCGTATACTCAGACTCTAATACAAAGGTTTATTTTAGTGAAAATGCATGTGTTTGGTAAGTACCGAGCATACGACTGGATAAATGAGACTTGGATTATACTGCACAACTTGTGTAAGAGTTTGCATACAGATGTTCTGATATAGTTTTTCTGTTGTTAAATGTAGTCCCCAATCGATCAGTAAATCAATATGTTTGCAATTTTCCATGGAGGCAAGCCAGTTTCCGTCAAAACTTTGAGGTAACACAGCATGCCTGAATGATTTGGTCATTTTGTGGGTGAGGTATTCCTTTAAATCTTGTATTTACACTGCAGGTTAGTTGTTGGCTGTGGCTACATATCTATATATGGCTCTGTGTACATGTATTGTGCGTATCTTCTTAGCAACAGCTCGATCTAAAGTGGAGTGTAGACAGTGAAAATGGAAATACCAGAGTCTATTATTAACGGTGAACGATCTCATTCAGACTATAAACCAACTGAAATGAATGGAAGCTCATTATATATTACATACCTTGATTTATCATACTGAAAAATATCGCAAAAGTCACTTTACATGTATAGTACATATTCTCCTTAATGATATCAGCCAGGCATAACATTACACTTGTGATGTGTCATTGCAAACATACCAGAATCTTTTATTGAAGACATACAGGCTCTGTAAGAAAGGCATGTGTAATCAGATATCACAGAGAATCCTTCAGCACACATACGAGTGCCCCTCGTGATTTTTCTTGTTCATCACATTGAACTCCTTTAGAAATGACATTCACTTCAAAGTGTGGCATAAATCAACAGGAGGGTTGATACAAGCCAGTAATGGTTTTTAACAAATCCCCTTAAGGTTAAGACGTGTGGATGTATTACATTACAAGTTATGTAAGGTATCCAAACACGCAGGCTAGAATGATTCTGTACACAATATAACATCAGATACTGAAGGACAGCCGTTTGCACTTCCTGATAAAAATGCATTATGTAATTATTTCCATGCGAAGACTCTTTCGTCATGCACCAGGATTCCACTGGGCCACTTTCCAATCCATTAAACCCTGCCTGAGATGTCTTGAGATTTGGCAATGAGAGACACACAATCAAAGACCACCTTGACCTTTTTTTTTCTCTTACCCAGATGTTTTTTTTTTTAAGTCAGGCCGCCATGTTTGTTAATTCCCTGATATTTCCGCCATTTCAGAATTCCCAGTTTGAGCAGATTTACAAGTATAAGGTGGATTCCCTCTCCACAAATAAATAAATGGTCAAATTAATGTCCACTATATCACTGATAAACTTTTTTTTGTATATTAGAGTTTTATAAAGAGTTATTTGAATATCTTCTTATTAATAAGCTCACACTCCCACCACGCTCACATTCAGATGCATACACGACATGTTATATGATCGGCTTCATGTTATCTAGTGCAAAAAGCGTCAATATGTACTGAAGACAAACAATCACAAAACTCATGGCACTCTCCGCGGTCGGCTAATAGAGAGCCCCGCATCACTCATTCTCCACAGAGTCCTTTTGGTCCAGTGTTTGAGGGGAGAACTCATAGTGAGGGCTAGTCATCCAACCGGTCTCACGTTTCACTTTCTCCGTCCGTCCCACAGCGCAGTTCTCCGACTGCATCCGAGGGACAGTTTGTCTCCTTGACAACCTGTGGTGAAATGTCCCTTTGTCTTCTTTATCACGTCATATTCCAACAGGAAAATTTACTGCAACCACTTTGGCACCGGCACCTGCGTGAAAAGTAAAAGTATGTGAGGATATGTATTGGGTGAGCAAACCGATACGTAAAACAATCTTACGTACCTTCTTGAGTTGTTTCTTGTCGCTTCCTCTGATCGAGGCAAGCAGTTGGTCCCTTGAGTTCTTACTACCGGCTGGGCCTTTCCCATCCAGCTTCCTCTGCGAAACCGGGGTCAGAGAGTTCTTCAGGGCGTCTACATCCAGCATGGGAGGCGGAGGAGGTGGAGGTCCACCCCCAGGAGGAGGCGGAGGTGGTGGTGGACCTCCAGCTCCTCTTTTAGGCGTCAGCTTTGGTGATGGCATAGGTGACGGTATGGGGGAAGGTTTAGGGGAAGCTTTGGGCGAGCCTCTGAGAGATCCTCCGCCACCCACTTTGGGTACCTCCAGCGTCTCCTTCTTCTCCCCGTTGGCCTGGGCCAGCTTCTGCTCCTGCAGGCGCTTCTGCCTCTGTCGGTCCATGTTGCGACTCAGTATGTTTGTCGTAGTCATCCTGGGTCCGGCTAACTCAAAGTGGTAGCCCAGTTTGAGCAGGGTTGTGTTCTCTTTCAGGATCTTGGTCATTTCCATCTCCGTCTTCCCGCCGCAGATGTGACGCTGGTTTTGAAAGCGAAGCTCAGTCAGTGTGGAGTTGTGTGGCAGCGCCTGGATCAGAGCCAGGATGCCTTTGCCAGTGAGATGGTTGGAGTCTATGTTGAGGCTAGTGAGAGTCTTGTTGTTGCGAAGCATGCCTGCGATGGCGTAAGCTACGTGGTCGTCCGCACGGCAGTTAGCCAAGGCAAACTTCTTAATGTTGGTGTTCTTGTGCAAAGCCTCCGCAAACTCTATGAGCGTTTTGATCTTGATGACCTCTGAGTTGTTGACGTTGAGCTCAGTGAGGGAAGGGTCATTGCTGCGAACCTGCTCCATCAGCTCATCAAACATGCTTGAGTCTTCGTCCTCCTCCTCTTCCTCTTTCGCCTTGCTGTTTGGGGTGTTTTTGGCCACACAGTTGCCAAGTTTCTCAGTTTCCTCAGGTTTTTTAACTTTTCCTTTACTCTCCTCTTTTTCCTTTCTGTCCTCGACTTTCTTCTCCTTCTCCTTCACGTGGTCACTATGATTCACCAGCTCCTCTCTATCTGTTCTCTTCTCCGCCTTGTCGTGTTTCACCTGCACCTCACCCCTCACTGATGATTGTCGCTCAAGTTTGACATCAGGCTTTTTATCTTCAGCTTTTTTCTCCTCTGTTTTAGGCTTCTTCTCTTCAGATTTACTCTCCGGAGCCGGGCTTTCTTGTGCCTTGCTCTGTTTCTCCAGCATCTTAGAGACAAGCCCTTGCGTCCTGAAACTCTCAGATTTTCTCTCCTTTTCCTTGCTCACATCCTTCTCTTGTTTTTCACGTAGCTTTGAGATAATGTCTTTGGTTTTGCCTTCATCTCTTCTCCTGCTGTCGTCTTTCCTGTCTTTGCTGTCGTCCTTCTTTTCCTGTAACTTGGAGATCATATCCTTTGTTTTGCTGCCTGTGCTCTCTCTGTTTTCTCTTCTGTCTCTTATCTTATTGTCCTCAAGTTTCTCCTTGGTCTTCTCTTTCACGTCACTCTCTCTGCTCTCCTGGTTCCTGAATCTGCTTGAAAGCCGACTCCGCTCCTCTCTCAAACTTTCAGGACCTTTGCTGTGTCTGTCGGCCACCTTAGTATCTTTTTCATTTGAGATACTACCTTGTCTTCGTAATCCGACTGTCACGTCGTCGTTCCCCTCCTGGCTCAGGCCCATCTTCCTCAGGTATTCCTGCTTCCGGCTTTCCTTCTTAGTCTCACCCTGCAGGAGGACGAACATGAGGAGAATGATATGAAAAATTATATAAGCAACATGTCAGAAAGTAGAGTAGTTAAAGGGATAGTTTGGATTTTTTGAAGTGGGGTTGTATGGGGTACTTATCTATAGTTAGTGCATTACATGCAGTAGATGTCAGTCGGCACGACCCCAGTTTAGAGAAGCAGGCTGGATGCCAATACAGAAGCTAAGCAATGTACTGCAGTTGATGGGGTCAGCAATAAAACATATTTTAGCCTCCTAAAAAAAGTCCCACCTAAAAAAATCTGTTTCAAGTGATAGTTTGCTAAATTGAGAATATTTTCACCACTTTACCTTTCTGTCAGACAGCCTGTTTCAGCAGAGGAAGCTTCAGTTCCCCATTTAGGATCTCGTCAAAGCCATCAGACTCCACTGACAAAAACAGTAATTTTAGCTTGTTGAACACGGAGGCTCAAGCGAGAGGGTTCAAGAATTTCGTGGTCTTGTTCACGAGTGAGGGTAGAATGGAGCGTTGGATGGATTGGCGGTTTAGTGCGTCTTCTGCAGTGATGCGGGCGCTGCGCCGGAGCGCCATGATGAAGATGGAGCTTAGCCGGAAGGCTAAGCTTTCAATTTACTGTTCCATCTACGTCCCAACCCTCACCTATGATCATGAGCTCTGGGTAGTGACCGATAGAATGAGATACACCTGGCCGATATGAGCTTCATCCCAGAGGTGTCTGGGCTCAGCCTAAGAGATAGGGTAAGGAGCTCGAACATCTGGAGGGAGCTCAGAGTAGAGCCGCTGCTCCTTCTCGTTGAAAGGGGTCAATGGATTTGGTTTGGGCATCCTCCTGGGCGCCTCGCGCTGGAGGTGTTCCGGGCACATCCCACTGGTAGGAGGGCCCGGGGCAGACCCAGAACATGATGGAGGGATTATATATCTCATCTGGCCTGGGAACTCCTTGGGGTCCCCCAAGGAGGAGCTGGAGAGCGTTGCTGGGGGGAGGGATGTCTTGGGTGTTTTGCTTGGCCTGCTGCACCCGTGACCCGGCCCCGGATATGCAGATAAAAATGGATGGAAGGATGGATGGATGAACACAGAGCTGATGGTCTACCTCTGCTTCTATTTGTTAGTTAGTTTGTGTTATTGTGTGATTTTGGTGAATCTGAAATAATTATTTATATGCCAAAGTCACACAATAACACAAACAAAATAATTGTTCAAGGCAGCCGTAGACCAGCAGCTCCTGTGTTCAGCGATGGTAAATCACTGTTTTTCTGAATGGAGTCTGGCTTTGAGGACAGTGTTATAACAACTTAAGTTTTCTGTCAAAAATCGCTGTCTGATGAAAAATATTCTAAATATAGCAAGCACTTAAACTGATATTGATTTTTTCAGGTGGGACTGTTTTGAAGTGTCTAAAATTTGTTTAGTTGTTGATGTCTCCACAGCAGTACACTGCTGAGCTTCCATGTTGGACTCCAGTTTGTTTCTCCAAACTGGGGGCGTGTTGACTACCATCTACTGTATATAATATATTGTCTATGAATAAGTACCCCATACAACCCCACTTCAAAAAGTCTGATCTATCCCTTTAAATATATGTCAATACCAAAACTGTTACAGATAGTATCAAATGATGTAGTGACCTAAACCAAAATAAATCACAGCAGGTACAGAGTAAGACCATTTCACAGAATTCAAAGGCGTCTTTAAAGTCTCATAATAATTTATTGGCTTGAGAGTACAGAAGTTGTTCTTGCAGACGTACAGTATCTAATGCACGACATGTACCTTATGATATAACACCTAATACTGTATCCCTTACTGTCAAACAGCTCCTCGTCCATCTGCTCACTGTAAATACATACACTCCCCCTGACACTGTATGGCGTGTGTGTTTACAGTCAGCAAAAGGACAAGGAGCCATTTTTTATAGTGCAGGGATACATTTGCGGCGAGTCGCTTGCAAAGTGTTTGATTTGTGAGCCTCCATCTGTTTTGCCGTGTGAGGCCGTGGCCCTGGCAGATGTATCCTTAAAAGGCAGTGAGTGTATGAGCAATCAACCAAGGAATTCCATCAGGCCGGGATTAAGAAGCTCCGCAGGGCCTCAGCTCCATCGACTGAAGTGTCTCTCCTTTAAACACACAAACTACAAGAAACCTAGCTCCCTGACACTCAGACAAGGCGGGCTCTTTTATAGCATGTCACAGGAATAAAAGAAATGGTGTGGTGTGTTTCTGATGCTGCCTTCTCCGCTCGTGAGAAGATGATTGAGAATGTGAAATGTATGTAAGCAAGCCACAGAGGGGAAAACAATGTTTTTCCTGGCACAGAACGCTACACTATTTATGAGCTGATGGACTCAGGGTTCATGAGGTCCAGTTGGCGCTTTGCTTCAAGCAAATTGAAAAAGAGCACATGGAAGCTATCATTAGAATCCCCTGGGGACAGTGGATGTTACATAAGTCATAAGTGCATTAATTGCTGTTTGATTTCATAAACTCATCTAAATCACCCATCTTCAATAAAAACTGCTCAAAAAACAAACATCTTAAGAAAGTTAAGAGTCTTGTGCCACAAGATAAGGAATCTTTTACAAACCTCAAATGACTGTTCCCTCTCGCTGAGCCTCCCTTTACGGTCACTCTCTCGTCTGCTGTCCAGTTTAGCGTCCTGGACATTGTTGCTCGTAGGTGGCTGCGCAGCTTGGCTCTCCCCTGCGACAAGGATCTTCCCATCCTCTGGCTTGAGGTCTGGCACTTTCATCATGTCTTTCTCCAGCTCCTCCATCTCCTCAGGGGAGAGGGTGGACAGCAGGTTGTCCAGGTCTGGGTCCTCGCTGACCTGACGACCCGTACGGGTCAGGCCTCTCACCTTTCTCCTGGACATGGTTGCCTATAAAATCTTGGGACAAGGCTACGCCCGTGGAGAAGAGCAGAGAAATCTGGTTTCTTTGGAGGCGTTGGTACGGTTAATCCCTTTATTTCAAATCTGATTATTGTGTGATTTCTCTCTTATGGTGAGAAGTTGAGTATTCCCATAGGCCAAAGCTGATGTCCTGCTGTCCTGTCGCGTCCCACTCACCAAAAAGCCACCAGAGGCATCAATCCTGGTGCAAAGAGGCTGGACTCTCAGTCCGCAAGCGAGGGGTACCAGTGATGAACTGCAAAAGCCTCGCATCATCAAAGTGGACTGTGAGGCTTGGACATTCTTGGAAATCCTGTGAAAGTGCATGTCCATATTTAGTTCAGGGTACACACTCCTTTAAAGGTAATGGGAAGGGCTGAAGTTTACAGAGATGCCAGAGCAGAGTTACACAGACTTCCTATTGCACAGTTTATGTTTATACAGAGACCAGATCCTAATTTTGTGTTTAGTAATGAATCTAATTTTAACAGGTGAGACTTTCACATTAGATTTTATGCCACAGTGAGACACGTCTGTGCTTCTTTTAGAAGCTTTTCTTATTTCCTAGTTCCTTAAATTAACACATTCCCAACATTTTTTGGAAAACAAAGCAATTTAAAACAGCTTTGTTTTTACAGGAGCTCCATGGAACACCAGCAGGTCAATGATTTAGGGGGAAGCAAATGATTTATGTGTCAATAAATATGTGGAGTGAAACACATGTTGGGATACTCTTGAGGCTGATCTACAATCTTCAATAAAGAACAATATCCTGCTGTTAAAGAGACCAAAATACATTAAAATTTTACAATAAATAATAATAATGATAATAATCATCATCATAAATAGTATAAAAATAAAATAAAAAACTTGAAAAAAATATATAAAGAAACTGAATTAGAAAAATAGATATAACAAATGCAAATAAAAATGGAAAAATATATAAATATTTTAAATTATTTATTAAATATAATAAATAATTTATTTTCATATATATATCCATGAAATATATATATATGTATATATATATATATATATATATATATATGCAATGTAAGCATTAAAATACCAAATACTGACCTGGTGTGTACAGGCTGTGTATTTTTTCAATACATAAAAATGTAAAATGTACATATGTCAAAGTTGTATGGAAAACTGTACAATAAAATCTTATATATGATTGAATGAAATATATAAATGACAGTTTTATTAATCACAGTATTTTTTGTGTTGTTTTATAAAGATGTGATGCCTCTTGAGGAGGCTGTGCAAACATTTATTAATACGGATATATGCTATACTTTTTATGTATGTTGTCAATTAAGAATTTCAATTCAATTAAATTCAATACAATAGGGGCAAATATCCACTATGGACATATCTGTATAAGTGAAAAGTGTAGATATATTGTATATAGCTTTTATTTTTATTTTTGTCTTGCTTCATTTTTGTTTATCACTCAGTTTTTTCCTTTGCCTTTGACTCTTGAGCTGCTGTAACAAGTTATTATCATAGAAATATCTTGTGGTGTTGCATAAGATGAGTGACATAAATCAATCCAAAGCCAAACTTCTGGACACATTTAACATTATTTGGAGGTTAATGTGGACATCTAGTGGTCAAAATGATGTACACACGAAACCCCTGTTCAAATGCTGTATAATCAGATTTCTTGTGAACAAAAACACACATGAGACAGGTGCATTTTTACATTCCAAAGTTAAATTTTATGTTAATAGAAATAAAAACTTTTCACTCACTTTATATTACAATGTCATACCATCCATATGACAACAGACAAAAAAGCCATATCCAGAAGTTATTTTTGCCGACTGATGTCATTTCATTGAACACACTCATGGAGTTGGTTTAGAAGCACAAATAAACAGAAACATCATTGAGCAAATGTTATGTCAAACTACATATGAAAGCATCTTACAAAGAAAAGTCTTTCAAAGGTGTTCTCTTTGTGCTTTACAAAGGCTCGACAAATCTGTACATATGGACGTCGCCATCGGAGGAAACTAATTATGCTGTGAACTTCTGCAGAAACAAATACAGCATTAAGTCTCAAGAAGTTTGCCCAGGCCTCTCTGATCAGCATAACAGTGTTTTATACTGTCTCATTTCACTTTGAGGTTGAGATACATCACACTCAAAGAGTTATTTATAATCTAGTTGTCAGACAGCTGACTGTACAACACATGCTCGAAATGTCATGTTTTACAGTTCGCACATCTTACACAGGACACAGGGCTGTTATTGCCTGTCAAAGATGATAAATAGAAGAATTTCAGTTTAACGTTACAGACCCTGACCTCACTGGAGCCCAAATTGTGAATTAAAACAGTTTGACATTTGGGAAATACACTTACGTTTCCTGCTTTCTTGTGCTGTTAGGAGAGGTTTGCCTAGAGGGCTTTCTGCCAGAAAGCTATGTCTCGGTTACAGTTAAGGTTTCTGCCCTTCTCCACGTGCTTTTCTTGGATAATGCTAATGATGGTTTAGCTGCAGCCGGTTAGCTTAGCTAAGCACAAAGACTGTAAACAGAGGGAAACAGGTAGCCTAGCTTTGTCAAGCTGTGACATAAAATAAACCTCATATCATGTGCCGTCGGACTAAAGTAATGGTAACTATTCCAGAAGTCTGTTGCCTAGCAACCGCTACCAGCAATTAGCCTTCCCCCGCCGCATAGCTTCCCATTAATGGCAAATTAAATATATATACATTTAAAAACGGTAAATCTGAGTTTCGCCAATAGATACGGCGTTAATTAGTGAGCTTTAAAGTGGCTGGTAGTCCTGGTTTTTTTTTAGCTAAGTACAGAGCCAGGTTAGCCGTTTCCCCCGTTAATTAACACAGATTTATGAAAATGTAAGTACAAGAAGTCGCCATTTTGTATGACTTCATGTGCCGCCGGACTTCTGTTGCCTGGCAACCGCTTCCAGCAAATAGTCCTCCCCGCCACATACCCACCTATTAAATGGCAAATTAAAATATATATAGAAATTGAAAAAAAGGGGGTAAATTTACGCTTTGCCCACAGATAAGACGATAATTAGTGAGCTTTAGAGTAGCCAGTAGTCATGTTTTGTTAGCTAAGTACAGAGCCAGGCTAGCCATTTCCCCCATTTCCGGTCTATTTTAGCTAGTTGCTACGCTAAACTAACCCACTGCTGCCTCCAGCTAGCAGCTAGCTAGCTACATATTTACAGTGGCGATCTTAGATTTTAGACTCTGGAGGGGCCCCAGGTGAAGAAGCCCATGGAGGCCCAGCCCCCCTAGGCCCCCATAAAAATGCAGTCATTTCAGTCAAAAAATGCATTCACTCAGTTGTGCTTCATCAAATGTCATTATCATTTGTTAAATAAATATATAAATAACACCATTCACACAAGCATCATAGTATTGGAACAACCAGCTCTCATAAGGTAGCAAGAGGGGGCCCCACTAAGGAGGGTTTTTAGGCAGTGGCAGTGGACTTTATAGACCGAATCGCAGTGACGTCACACAAGATAACTTGCAGTTGTTTTAAATTGTGGAAATTTTCAGTCATTTTCAGTTGTAACTGCAACGTTTACAGGGTGTCTGGTTATTAGAGTGAATTAAGTCAGTCTACATTTTGCCAACAGGTAAGTGCAAGTCTAAAAAGACAGTAAAGAGTAGTATTGTTGTTTTAGATATTTGTAACATTAGAAATGTTGACTTTTACATAGAAAGGCTTCACTTATTTTCACAAAAATAAATTTAAACATGGATAAATGAAATTAGATAGAATGGCTGTTGTAGTTAAGACCTCACAAATTAAAATTTAAGACTATTTAATGACTTTGAAGGCCTTATTGTTATAACATTGGGACCTGTAGACACCCTGGTTTAAAGATGTTTAGCAGTATTTAGCCACCTAAAATACACATTATCTCTGTAAGTATACACTATATTTGAATTTTTGCTAAGCTTTACCTTACACACTAACCAACAGAGGCCTCAGTAGTCCAGCAACTCAGTGTTCTGCTAAATGGCTTCACTTCCCTGTTAGAACAGGCTGTTGGCAAGGTGAAGCGTGAAAACATTCTAAATATAGCATACACTTAAACTGATACTGATTTTTTTTGGGCCTTTTTGTAGTTGGCCAATTAATGGATGGCTAACTAATTGAGTCAGCGTTTTCTCAGTGCTGTTGGATTTTATGTACATGACATGAGGATTTTAGTTCTTGAAATTAAACATTGTGATTCGGTCTATAGTGTCTTATGGGTGATTTAAGGGGGTTTATAGTTGTCAATGCGAAATGTGCAAATGAGAGTGGCCATTGGGGGCCCATTTTCCCATTTTTTTTTGCCAATCATTTGCCTCACCTAAATGCACCTCTGCTTATTTACCATAGAGACATGATATTGGTATTGATCCTTAACTCTAAGCCAAGAAAGCATACTTCCCAAAATGTCAAACCACGAATTTAAAGAGAGGTGGTAAAAAGAATCTACTTTTTCAACAGTAGTGATTTTTGGCTTCGTAGCTAGTCCACAAGGTGAGAACCCATTCACAGTAAGAGGTAACTTCGATAATGACAAATACCAAATGGAAAGATGCCAGAAATGCTAAAACGTCATATCTTATGTTACAATAACAATACATTATGTTTAAAATAACTTGTTACAATATCATAAAATATTCAGCTGAAGAACAGATTTACAAAATATGTATTTAAATAGTTAATCTCTTTTTTTTTTGTCGTCATGTTTAATTATTGTAAGGCGGGACATTTTTTGTTTTAACCAAAGCAGCAAGATCTGCAACTCCCCTGACCTGATATGTTACAAGAAATAAACATTTAACATGAATTTCACTGGAAAACATCCTACGTGGCATTATGGGATTAATCTAAAGACCTCTAATTCATTTAAAACCAGAAAAGAAGCATGAGAGGACAGATAGCTTTGACTGGAGTAGCATGCTGATGTCGAGATGTTACATTAGAATGGTGCAGATAATATACTACCATTAAGTAAATTAGTCGAGTTAGATACAGAAAAGAAGAGACAGAGTTTAAACTAACGGGTGACTAAAGGCATCTCACACAGAATTAGGAGTACCATGAAATCCTTCGCCTGCCAATTTAAGACAGCATCACGCTGCCTTTGAGCCAAACATGTCATCTTTTTAATCAAACATGCAGTTTGTTTTTCACTTTAGCCTCTAAAATATTACAGGAAAAAAACATCAAATACAGAAATAAAGACATCATGTAATCATATTTGGATCGTGTGGAGAATGTGTGACCTGGAATGTAGCCGTAGGCAGTTTCAAATTCACTTCAATTTATTACAAATTTAACAAAAGTGAGGAAGTAAAGCATTTTCCCTTTGATCACTAACGAGGGAGTGCATTATCATATTTGTAAATCCCTCCTATCCCCCTCTTTGCCATCTTTAGGTCACACCCTGTCATTGAGGTGAGTGTGTCAGAGCACAAGTGGCAGCACAGAGTTGAGACGCCAGCCGGATACCTCCTCACTTTGGGGATGGTGTGACGGCCTCTGTGAAACCCGCCGGGAGTGTCGAGGCGTCAGGTTGCAGAACAGAATTTGACTTACGTAAATACTCTGGGAAAAGTAGGACAACATTGTAAATAAACAAAGAAAGAAAAAAACAACCCTTAAAGTGCCTCCTGTTCTCTTTCACAGACAAACCACTGCTAGTCGAGTTGTAGCATTTGAGTGTTTGTGTGAGTGTGTGTGTGTGTGTGTGTGTGTGTTTGAGTGTGAGAGTGTTGCTGCCTTCTCCTTTTGAAACAGTCTTTGCTCTCAGTTGCTGTTGTTTCCCTCTGTGTGTATGTGTGCGTGCAGACGAGCTCATCAATGTCCAGGATACTGAGGTGGAGAGTAAGGTGGAGGGGCTGAAAAATAAGTTGGTAGAAAGATAAAATAAAGTCAGATCTTCATATACGACTACTGTAAAAATCAATTAGAAAATAAAATGAATAAAAGCCAGCAAATTCAGTAGGATTCATTCTCAAAAATAAAACAGCTGTTAACGGGAAATTTTGGTTTATTTCAACCTGTCTCCTATCGTCCTAAATTTGTTTCAAGTGACTAGTGACATAGAAATAATAGTTAGCATGTTAGCCGTTAGCCTAGAAACAGCCGGGCCGCATAGTAGCGTCAGACCTGTTAAAACGTAAGTGAACGGGCAACCTTCAAGTGCAAAGTTGGTCCACTAAACAAGCTTTTTTTCCACAAAGACCGCCTCATGTCGTTAGGAAAAAAGTCAGAGAACATATAGAAAACGACATGTAAACATGTTGTCTTACCTTACCGGTGTCATACTGTGCCTGAAATCTCGCGAGAACAAGCAGCAACAGCTGGAAGGCAGAACCGGACAGTAGCCTGAAAAGTTCATTCATTTATTTTATGAAAGATTTATAGAACAATGGCTGACTTTTGCCAGACTTCGACTTTGTGGAGGAGGAATTTGATTTTGCAGAGTTAGATGGCCGCCCTTATTTATTTGAGCCAGAATACACTGACGAAGAGCTTCGTGAAATTGAAGAATGGAGGAGGAGAGACAGAGAGGCGCAAAAGGTAGAGGACGAGAGAGGAGGAATGGCTGCTGCAAGGCTGAGTAGCTCTGGAGATTGGTGGTGTACCTGTGAATGCTGTGCCCCAGTGCCCACAGAAGAGGAATGCCTCTGTTGCAAGGAATGAGACCGGTTACAGCCTTATTTTCAAGGTCTGGATGTGACCGAGGACGAGACACCTCCACCTGGAGTAACGTTAGTATCCAGCTGGGATTTTTCTAGAGCTCACGAGATTTCAGGCACGGTATGAGATCGCTGCTTGTTCTCGCGATATTTCGGCTGCGCTTTGGAAAGCAGAGCTAGATGGTAAACAAACATGGCACCACACCGGTAAGGTAAGACAACACATTTACATGTCGTTTTCTATATGTTCTCTGACATTTATCCTAACAATATGAGGCGGTCTTTGTGGAGAAAAGGCTTGTTTAGTGGACTAACTTTGCACTTGAAGGTTGCCCGTTCACTTACGTTTTAACAGGTCTGACGCTACTATGCGACCCGGCTGTGTCTAGGCTAACGGCTAACACGCTAACTATTATTTTTATGTCACTAGTCACTTGAAACAGATTTAGGATGATAGGAGACAGGTTGAAATAAACCGAAATTTCCCTTTAAGATATGGTGACTTATGCCCAGTTCAGACCAAAGATCCACGACAATGCACCATTCTGCAACGTTCTAAATACCTGCTGGTTCACACCAATGCAACTAGACGAGGCGGTGTATCATCTCTATGCAACAACTCCCTGTACTTCTGTTCTGTTTCCATCTTTTCAGGCTTATTTTGTGGCTGAATATAATTTGTCGCTTCTTAAATATGAATGAGAATAGTGATAGTGAGATACTGGCTACAGCTGCATAAGCAGTCGTGATGAAATGGCGAAAAACAGAAATAAAACCAACATCAGATGGACTGTATTCATAATAAATACGCCACAATAATATTATTAACCAGCACCAATTAATCAAATGAGAATGTGTGTGTGGGGGCATAAGCACATACAGCGAGCAGCATCAGCAACCCACCACCAGCAACAGAGGGACTGGTGGGGACAGAGCACCTGCTGCAGCAAGTGAACATGTCGTTCTCGTTCATTTGACTTGACCAGTGGACCTAGCTACATTCACTGTTGAAACAGGTGAGGTGACAGGCTTTATGTTCTAAAACCAGCCGCCAGCAATTTGACCTGCTGAGCTGCAGGTGACACCATCAGCCATCATTTGAGTCGAGCTCAGACCAGCCAGTTCACACTGCTGCAACTTTTTTTCTGTAACGTTCTAAAACAGTTTAGTCCCGCTGCAAATCTTTGGTCTGAACTGGACCCAACAATGTAATCCTTAGAGCTGCTAAAAATGTCAAATTTCCTGGCAATAGGCCTTTCTCACAGCAGACATTTTGACTTGTCACAGTAGGAAAAGCACAGGTATTACTAATGACACCAACAATGGCTCTGCTGTATTCAAATGTTTCAGTGAGAGTGACAGTGAGCTAGCATGCACAATATCAGAAACCTGAAATCAAAGCAGCTAATGGAATTCAGTCATTATTTTCACTATTTACATTCTCGCTTTTCCCACTGAGACAAGTCAGAATGTCATGAGATGAGCGATAAATCATGAGATACTTTCCATTTAAGGTGACCTTTTCAACTGCTGCTGGTTCTAGAGGACAGTGTCTAAATCCGATGGCAAATTACTGATCACTTTGTTAAGATAGAAAGCATTCCTTCATAAGCCCCTCAGTGGGAAACTAAATTTTTTCACTATGCTGTTAACTACAGACACATGCATAAACAGAGTTCAGTGCCTTACTCAGGGACACATCGGCAGTGCCCAGGAGCATGAACTGGCACATGTCCGTATTTGGTCTGTACGGGGACTTGAAGAAGTGACCCTCCAGTTCCCAAGAGAAGTCCCTGCGGACTGAGCTACTTCTATTTCTTGTTCAGATTTTCATCTGGTGTTGGTCCTCCAGGTAACACAAGGGTGTCACCCAAACACCCCGTGGCCAATTAAATATCCAGTGTTTCCCATTAATTAATGAAACTATGGCAGCCCGCCATAGTTTAATTTGACCCGCCATAGTTTCTAAATAAAAGATTTAGGCTGCCGAAAGTATTGACTTCTCATAATATAAATAATATCTCGAACGCTGTAGCGTTTTGTGCCGATGTGCTCAGGCTGTCAGATCCAGCGCTCGACAGTGCGAGCATTTCACTCAACTAAAACTACGTGTGTGCGAACTGTAAAAAATATTTAGGGGCAAAAAAAAAATCAGCCGAAGCAGCCTATATTTTTGTCAATAAAAATATATGATAATCTAACCGCAAATGTTGGAGGAACTCCAGCCGCCTTCCCTCTTCCCTCTTCCCCGTGTGACACGGTTATG